GGACACCCTGTGTGTCTCGTAGATGATTTGATATGCTGCATCGATACGTGAAATATTGAAAGAAAATAGCTTTAGTTCCCTGACTCGTAGGTCTCTCTCACTCTTCGTCGACTACTCTCAGTCACCATTTCGATGAAGATTAACGAAGTTTAGTGAATCACTTATGGTTCGATACACCAGAACAGAAAGATTCATGAATTATATAGAAACACCGTCAAAACTAAACTGAAGGAAAACGAAGAATTGTCGAACACAGATTTTATTCAGCTTGGCAGTGAACTCTATTAACCCTTTGTCTGCCACGTAAACACTCATCAAAACTGCCATGAACTCGAAACAGATTTTTTCACTAACCAGAAACTGGAAACTTTTTCACTATCATTCTTACATTTCATGTGTCCAACAAAATTCGGTTCGATCGGTACGTCATCAAAAGGATCAATGTCGAAGTTTCTGTGAAAAATAATGTCACCCGAATTCGGGTGATGTGGCGGTCAAGGTGTTAATGTTAAATCAACTACATTCATAAACACCCAATTTGATTCTTATTTATCAAACCGTCTAAATCGCTCAATTCCCAGCAAAGAGTATAAAACGAGAAAGATCAAATTAACGCGTCACCGGTCTGATTAGAAGTTTCATTTCGACGATAATACGATCCTCCCCGAGAGCCGACCTCCTCGCCTCCCAAAACTGCTATCAATAAGAAACACAACAGTCGAAGTTGCGCTCGGTATCTTGTTTTCGGCAGGAAACAAGATAAGTGTTCTCGCGGGAAATCACATTGGCCGTCGACAGGGAAGCTCGAGCGGAACGTTTAATTCCGCGTCGAAAGAACCTGGTGCGATTGTCTGGCAAATTTCGTAACTGCCGTCTGGGAAATAGTGGACAGCCAACATCGCGAAATGAGAATCGTCCGTTTAAGCGGCGCGCGGCTGTCTTTTTCGGTGATCGAACCGGCGCGATCGTCGTCTGGCCCGCTCGCTCGGTTTCTAATACCTTCATTCCGGGCGTAACGTTGTCGACGGAACGCCGGAATATCCGTCGCCGCTCGTCACTGGAAGAAGCATCGCCTCTCGGGGATGGAACGAATGAATTTACATTTAAAACGAGTTCCGAAGGAACCGTTCGGACACATCGCTGCCGGCTTTGCGAGGAATGTGTCGTTTGGAATTCGAGGGCGTGCTAATATCGGGCTGTCGACGGAGGGTAATTAACGCTTTGCCACGTAAACTTATCGAGAACCCTATGTATTCGAAACAGTTTTCTTGGTTAATCAGAGACTGAGAAGTTAAGGTTTTTAATAATTGCTCTATCTTTCTGATATTTCATATGTCGAAGAAAATTCGGATTGTTTGCTACGTCACCCAGAAAATTAACACTGGAACTACCAAATGATTTTTGGATCCCTTCTATCGCAATTATGAAAGGACAGACGACATTTAACCCTTTGCACTCGAGAGGTGACTCTCACTCACTACCTGACTTCACACTGTAAAATTATAAAATTTGATATTTAATATTATACTTTATGTAACTTTATATTGAAATAAAATAACTAAGTTCTTCAATGTACGTTACGATTTCTCTGCGAGTTAGTTTCACAAAATATCGTTTCTACCTCATCGGAAAATGTTAAAATATTTCCAGTGAAAAACTTTCGAGTGCAAAGGGTTGATAAGGGGAAGAACAGATTTAGAGTCCACGTTTATGCGTGGTGATCCGGAACAATTACCGAAAGTAATTGTCTGTCGTTAGCGGCCATAATGGCGCGAAGCCAGCTCGTCAGTGTCGGTTTACCCGCGTCGCGCAAACAGGCGTTTCAAGCAGCGGATGAAACGCGCAGAGACAATCACTGGGACACTGACAATACGTTCTCGGCCGAATCTCAACGATGCCGAACGCAATTTCCCCGGAGAACGCGTCGGCCGAGTGAGACTGACGCGCGATGGATGTGAATCCGACGAGACTCGCTGTTTCAGACGTCGTTGTAACATTATTTTTCTAATCATCTATGTAGAATAGGAACACCGATTTTCTACACGTCGTTAATCTTGTTGCATCACGCATACCAGATTCTTTCGAAACGCAAAATTCTATACAAAGCGATTAACTGTACGATCGGCACATTTTTCTGACAGTATCAACTAGTCGAAGCAAAGTTATTTTTCTATAGGTGGTTTATAATAAATATATGGATATAAATTTGTAAAGAATAATAAGTGTAATACCTCTCGACCGTAGAACAACACTGTACTCAGAAAAATGGAACATGTCATATTGGCGATACCGATTTCGAAAACAAATATTAACCCTTTGCGGACGAAGGTTCTTTGAAATATACAAAATATTAGCAGGTGAAGCTAAATTATATATCAATTACTTAAATGATAGAGAAAACAGAAACTACGTGCTGATCTCTTGGTGTTTGAGTAATGAAATTATTTGTTTATCACTTAATCTTCGAAACATCGAGAGATTTGATTCGATGTACCGAAATTGTAAAGTCTCTTAATTTTCTCTCAGAATGTTATGCTCCGTGTCATCTATAAATTTGTGAAATATTGAAGTAGTAACTTTGGTTCTTAACTTACGTGTTCTCTTATTCACTTCGTTTCAAGGAGTGTCCTATACAACTTATTAAAAAACGAATATTTCTAGTGATAGGTTTCCGAGTGCAAAAGGTTAAACCGATGAAAAATAATCGCCAGTTAAAATTTCACCGTTTCAGAGGTTCGGTGGAAATAGCGTTAAACAATTTCGGAAACACCTTGTGTATACGCGCGCGGCCCGTCAGCTCACGGTGTCCGTGTAAAAACCAGCTGAAGCTGGAAAGCGCGTGATAACAGACCGTACAGCTGTGCACAATACCGTAGACGGTGCACGCGCGATACACCGACAGACGAATTTCGGTGCTCTGACTCGTTCTCGACCGAGAACATTCCATGGGAGTCGGGGTAATGAGCGTGAAACGGCAGCGGAGAATTCTCTCGCTAAATAAATCGTCCACTATTACATAAAAATATTCAGCTACTACGGTGCTTTTTACATCCTGCGCGCCGCGTTCGCTGGATTGTTGGGCGTCTGATCATTGCTCGGTTTTTCCACTAGTTCCGAATGCGACGGCATCGAATCATCCGATTATTCAATAACTGTGTAATTTTTCGCGATTTATTTTGAAGTTTGAGGTTTCCTTTTGAAATTACTGTTGACGTGTCTGATCATTGCACGGTGTTACTACTAGTTCCAAATGTAATAGCGTTGAATCATCCGATTATTCAATTACTGTGTAATTTTTCGCGATTTATTTTGAAGTTTGAGGTTTCCTTTTGAAATTACTGTTGACGTGTCTGATCATTGCACGGTGTTTCTACTAGTTCCAAATGTAATAGCGTTGAATCATCCGATTATTCAATTACTGTGTAATTTTTCGCGATTTATTTTGAAGTTTGAGGTTTCCTTTTGAAATTACTGTTTACGTGTCTGATCATTGCTCGGTTTTTCCACTAGTACTGACTGCAACAGCATTGAATCATCCGATTATTCGTTGACTGTATAACTTCTCATCGATTTGAATTATTGCCGATGGTTTATAAACTGAGCTTTCTTTTCTAAATTATCGATTAACCTGTCTGATAAATTTTCGATATTTCTACTAACTTTAACACTATTTCTATCCTTGTCAAAAGACTTCGAAACGTCACCATAAAATTACTTCCTCCGTTTCCTCACATTCGCTCAATTGAAATTTTGTACTATTCCTCAACTTTACACCGTTAGAACATAAAAATACCTTAATTAGTGCTATTCGTTTCAATTGAAACGCGAACGCGTTGAAGCACCTCGACGCGCCAACGGTAACCAAAGAGTTAATCCGACGATAAGCCCGCATCTTTCCATCTCCGAGCGAGAACTCGGTTGTTTAACATCCTGGCTCCGCAACGACCGCGGCTCATCATCCTCCAGTGTCTTGTGAAACGTTTCGGAAGTCATCTCCCAGGGCCCGAGCTAATCAGCAGCTCCGTTATCTAGAGACGTGGATGCGGAGCGTGTAATTACTCGAATCAGATGCTGCGGGTGTGCAGAAACGGCATCGAAAACAGCATTGCAACGGTGCTCGACAAGTCAGCCGGGGCTCCCGCGGGGAAAACGTTCGTGTTGAAGTCGAAACGGCCCGGGATTGCAAAATGTATCGGTTCAATTCTGTTGTACATTAATGTTCCTTGATGGGTGAACGATCTTTTTAAACGAATGATACGCTGTACTTTTTTTATGCTATATTGTGTATAATATGTAGTATTCTATAACGCCGTGGGCATTTATACTCGTATAGTTAATATTTATTAATTTATTATGTGTTATATCATTGATTGTAATGATATGTGATTACCTATTGTGTTGTTATTATTTATTGTATGCTACTGAATGTAAGCCATTTTATATAAATATGCAGCTATATTAATACTATTAATAATACTACTAATAATTACTATTAATACTATTAATACTATTAATATATATATATATAAAAAATTAACATATTAAAATATAATTGATTTTATAATTACTATATTAATATATAAGTAATTATATTAATTATATATAATTATATATAGAATAAGTATATAGTTATTATATATTATTAATTCATAATTTCATAATTTACGTTACCAGGAGTAGCAGTGAATTATGTGCACTGTGAAAATTTCTCCATGAGAAATTAAATTTTTTTAAAACGATTCCATGTGTAATTTAATTATTTTGTTCGAAAGCACTTACTATTTCGTACCATTTCTGAACATTTCCTTTTGCACAGTTTCTCTTACGCCCCCATCTGCCTAAAAACAGGTTTCACTGTATCGCATTCCGATTTCCATCATCCCTATAAATCCATCGCGAACAAGAAGTCCCGCGTAAAATCGCTAATGAGCGATGTCCATTCGCGAGGCATTGTAACCTCCGGAACTCGAAGAAGCTAAGTGCCCTCGTTTCCGTTACAGATCCAGTGGCACGAGCTGCGCCGCCGTCAATTTGCTTCTGCCCGGTTCCCGGTGAGTACGCAGGAGCCGCAGAGCTCGGATTTGTTATTCAATCTTTTCCAGCATCCGCTAAACGCGCCGGTGCTTCTCGCGCGGCTATAAAAATGGTAAAACACTTCCCGGGAAGCATAAATTCTCGTTTCGCGCGTCCGACCGAGGGGCGAGCGGCCGGCCGGCGCCAGATCTCTCTCGCTTACCCGTTTTTCTTAATCCGATTAAAACCTGTTTTCCTCGAATTAAAGCGACGTAAATCCGCGTCGTCGGCCCCGCGGCTACTTTGCCCTCTTGTTTCGCCGGCGAATGAAACGCGCAGCTGCCTCTCGCAACTTTCTTGCCGCGAACGGACCACGCCGACGGAATTCTTCGCGGTGCTTGGCGAACGTTCCTTCCGCGCGTTCGGTGTTCCGTGATTTTGGAAAAATGGAGGTTGATTTTGGAGACCGTTCGCCCTTTTGCTTGTCGATACTTGGGGGCCTGAGAGATAGATAAGGGACCACCATCACCTGGGTCACGCACGCCCTCGACTGAAGAGTTTTCCTTTTTGGAAAAGCAGTTGAGGAATTTGGCAATTTGAAATTTGAAATGCTAATTTATATATTTCACACATTGTGAGATATATGTTACAAATATTTCACAACATTTACGCAGGTAAACAGAATGGCAAAAATATTACATTAGATATTATAAAAATATTACAATATAATATTAAAAATATATATGTATATATATATACACCTTTTCTCCATTTCCTTGCAAGTTTGACCTTGAATGACCTTGAAACTTAGGTCGTTAAACGTACTATCTGATGATGGATAGAAAACGTGGCAAACGTGTTAAGAATACGTCGAACGAACAGATTTTCAAACGAAGGGTTAAATATATAAATATGTTATTTCTGTTGCCTTATGTTTCGTCGATCGCACACTACAGTTTCACGCTCGGACGCGCGATTCGAAGTGGCCAGCGACAAAACCGCGGGATGAACGGATCCTCCAACACTTGTTGAGTCCTTGCGTCTGGCTTGCCAGACGCATTAGTAAATACACGCGGCCGAGTGCTGATCGATTGTTTCGTGATGATTTTGATCGTGTCGGTTATCGATGGTGCAGCAATCGCGATCAGTCGATGGAATTAGTTGGTATGATTAATTGAACAATCTAATCAAATTGTAAGCTACTGTTGCATTGATCGTTGAAATCAATCGCGATTGTATTACTCGTGATTAGATACTTATGCAGTTAATTATACCTTTGTGTATTTAGTTTGATATGTCCATCGAATATCGTACTCTAATATTTTTGAGAATTTCTTCAATCGACGAACAGTTGAACTTTTGCAATGGAGTTCAGAAGAAATCAAAGTTAAAGAATTCTATTCTTTAACCTTTAGCACTCCAGATTGTTTTGTAATCCATCAGCAACTACAAATAATTTTTATAGTATCTCTAGTGAAAGTGAAAAATGCTATAACATTTCATCGACCTTTAATTTCCTTAGTACAAAATTTGCATGCGTGGAAAATCGAATAATTTTAGGGTAGTTTCTTTAGGATCCATTAAAATATATTAATTAATATAATTAAAATAATAAAAATAATAATTCTGCGAGTGAATAATAATTGTTCCCGTTTCGCTGCAACAACTACGGAGAAAACGGTCAAGATTTTCGCGGCACTCAACGCGCTCACGGTCCCCATACACCGAAAATAGATCGAACGTCCATTGAATTCCGTGGAATCTTAGATTTCACGATTTCTCGAGCACTTTACGCGTTGCCGGCGTACAAAGCGTCGCCGGCCGAGGAACCGATCGCAGCGGAAGCTCGTTCGATCGATTCCTTTCATCCGTCGCCGGGTACTTCCGATCGTCACCGGTAGACGATACCGCGAATTGCGCGTTACGCAATTTCATGGGAGTTTTTCCGCGGAACAGCCTCGAGGACGAACGCTTCGCCCCCCCACCGATCGATGGGAGAGCACGTTCAACGAGGGGAATTGTGTAATTCCCCGCTGAAAGGGTTTTCATTTCCGTTCCGCTCGCTGGAAAAACGAATCCATACAAGGTTACAAAACAAGGTTCAATTAACGGCGCGACTCGCCGTTGTCCGAGCGGGCACATTGTTTTCCTGCCGCGAGAGGTCAAGATTTAATGAGAAACCGGTTTTTTTCTGACCGAGAGACACCGGAAATCGAGTCGCTCAGAAGTCAGTGTGGTTAACTACGGAAAACAGGAGTTGGGAAAATTCATGTTTTTTTATAGATTGAGTAGTGGTGACGAGATACCTCGGTTTTGTATGTAAGTATGAACTCTGCTAATTACATTTAAATGAAATTTTATTTGAATTATCTGTTTAAAATATATTACGTAACTATGTGATGTCTATGTTTTTCTATATATAGTGGTACATTATATGATTATTTATATATTATTATATAATTTATTATTATTTGTATAATAAATTAGTGTACAGTATATAATTAATTGATTCTATAAAGAATAAGAGATGTCTCGGTTTTAGATGGAGACACTTAGCTATGAACTCTGCTAATTACATTGAAATGAAATTTTATTTGAATTATCTGTTTAAAATATATTACATAACTATGTGATGACTATGTTTTTCGATATATAGTGATATATTAT